GAAAAGACTTTTCAAAGTACTAGCATCAGATAACCTAACAGGTAATAACCAACAGCTAATTACGCTAGTTTCAAACATGCATATGAAACGAGTTTTTTGCCAAAATAACACTCTTTTTAAAAAATATTTCCAATGTGATTCACTTTCAAATTTTATTCCCAAATCGATGTTATTGTTGCCACCTAATTTCCCTGATTGCCATGTAGGATAACAAGAAAGGAAAGCTTTAATCTAGTTTATAGTTTCCAATAAAAACTAAAAATTTAAACTATTTTATTATAGAGGCACAAGAAAATTGCATAACTTTGATAATTTCCTTATAATTATTTAAAATAAATTTTACCATTATTGACCTTGCTATTATTGCTCTCTGCAATTTTTTAAAATGTATCAAACTTATTGCATATATTTTTTCAAAAATAAATTTGTAAAATACAAAAATTGCAATGAACATTATAAGTAATAATAAGAAAAAGTTAAAAAACTTCAAGGTTATCATATTTGTTTATGTTATACTTTCTACTCCTTGAAAAGTACTTTTACAAAAAGTAATCAAACTATTGCAATTAAGATAATGCTAAAGTTTCTCAAAAGTAACACAAGCCATTAATTGATGTTGAATAAATGTGCAAAAATACTTCAAGTATACGAGATTATTTGATTATGTGATAGAGAGGCACTACAAATGAACATGCTTATATTGAGCATGAATTTATGTTATTACGTAGTTCTCCTCTTAGACATTTTATTAAGCACATGGTGTGAGAAATCATTTGTTAAAGCAATTAGTATTCAAAATTTTTTGAAGGCCATAGGAATGTTCCAAAAACTGCACAACAAAAAAGACAAGAGAATAATCTTCATTTACCTTGAAATTATCAATTTGAGGAGAATATTTTCATAATATCAGGAATGATAATGAAGTTTTAGATGTTGTTAATATAAATATTGACTTTTAACAATTACATTTGACAAGGAAAAATAACGAAAGGACAAAAAATAATAAAGGAAAAAAAAGTGGGTAGGTTCAGAGAGAGAATCAGGGAAGATATTAATTGGGAAAGAGAGATAGTATGTGCCTCTATCTCTATCCTACCATATATGCAACCTATGTGGAGAAAAAAGAATTATAAAGGTAATAAATTTTAAAATTATGTTATTTTGGGTATATGTTTCAAAAGAAGAGTTATTTTGACAATAAACTCCACAGGAAACTGCTCGGACTTAGTAGTAATCTGGCTTTTTCAGTAATCCCTCCATTGGTCATAGTCTTCTATTTTTTACCCAAAAAAGAAAAAGAAAAAAAACGCAGTCTTATGGCTATAGAGGTCGAAAGCTGACAACCCTGCTGAGAAATAAAGCAGATATAATTGATAGGTACATAAAAGAGATGATAAGTAATGAGTGAATGGCCCAAAAGGTCACTAAACTATTAAAAATGGCACCCTCTGGTCACTAAACTTTTTTTGTGGCCGAAAAGGTCACTAAACTCGCAAAAACTCTCAAGCAAAGTCATTTTACCGAATTTCAGCGGTTCCTCATCCGGTAACAGGGTCAATATGGAGTGGAGGAATATAGTAAAGGGGCAAAAATGTCAAACAAAATATGGTCAACCTTTTTTTCTCTCGCAAGTCGTGCCTTAGATCTAGAAATTAGCTGAGTCCTCTTTTCATTTGTTGAAAGACAAATCTTCTCTCATCTATTCAAGGAAAAATCTCCTTCCATTTCATCCTGTCCAATGACTCATGGCAAGACGCAATAAACCGATTCCATTCTGCAAGTGCGGAACTAGAACTATTTTGAAGACCTCATGGACAGAAAGAAATCCAGCGCGAAGATATATTGAATGTGCTCAAAATCAGGTAAGATAATTACTTAATGGATATTTGCGAGTTTACAAGATGGATAAAATGTAAATATTTGTTGCTGCAGGTGAGAGAAAATTGCAAACTGCAGTAAAACAAATCTATTCCGCCCCATTTTGTTTGACCATATTATGAGCAAACTGCAGTAAAATAATGAGCAACCCTCACGGCCAAACCTACTACTGCCGCCTCCAGGCCCTTTAACCCTTTCCCCCCAAACTCGCTGGAAATCCTCAAGATCTACCAGATCCTCTACCAAGCCTGCCCTTACATCAAATTTGCTCATTTCACGGCCAACCAAGCCATCTTCGAGGCCTTTGAAGCTGAAGAGCGAGTGCAAGTGATCGATCTAGACATCCTTCAAGGTTACCAGTGGCCGGCTTTCATGCAAGCGCTGGCAGCGAGACCCGGAGGAGCACCGTTCCTTCGGATAACCAGAGTCAGACCCTACCCGGAGGCGGTTGTCTTTCAACAAATGAAAAGAGGACTCAGCTAATTTCTAGATCTAAGGCACGACTTGCGAGAGTAAAAAAGGTTGACCATATTTTGTTTGACATTTTTGCCCCTTTACTATATTCCTCCACTCCATATTGACCCTGTTACCGGATGAGAAACCGCTAAAATTCGGTAAAATGACTTCGCTGGAGAGTTTTTGCGAGTTTAGTGACCTTTTCGGCCACAAAAAAAATTTAGTGACCAGAGGGTGCCATTTTTAATAGTTTAGTGACCTTTTGAGCCATTCACTCATAAGTAATTGGGAAAGGGGCGTTGCGGAGTGGGAATCATGGATGCTGAAAAGAGAGCTTGCCTATGTTGACATATGGTGGCCATATTTACACGTAATTCTACAATTTCAGCATTTAGCGAAGTCAATAATAGGCAGTTATTTATTTTTAAAAAAATAATATCATACTCAGAAATTGTAGCATAAATTAAAACGCTTCTCTTTAGCATCTCAATAATAGGACGACCGCCTATCACACACTCAAAATCTGTTTGCAGTTTTTCGAACATATGATTGAATATTGATACAGTGGTTGGTTGAAACTTATTCATAAATTGAGTAAAGAAGAATATGGGTGGGGTCCGCCTTATTATTATTATTATTAATTATAATATTATACTCATCCTGAATGTCTCGTGTCTTAGGGTTGATACAGCGGAGCTCCCCAAAAGTCCACCATTTAGGTGCAGAGGAGGCAGCTGCAGCCAGCAATAGCAAGCAAGCAAGCGCGGTTTGATTTGCAAATTGTTTGCTAATTTTTCTACGACCTGCAGACAAAGGGAAAAGGTTGGCTTTGTCGAATGAATGGTCGCTCGGCTCGTGGTGGGATTTGGATTTGGATTTGGATTTGAGAAAAGCTGAGGACAGCGATGTGAGTCGGGGAAAGTGGCAGAATGGTAGATACTGGAGAAGACCGAGGCTCAAAGATAAGGACGCCAGACTGTCCCGCCAAGCCACGGTTCCATTCCAATGAATCTAATCAGTAGTCAGTCGGGGCAGCGGCATTTCGGCGTGTTGCCGTATTCACACATTACTAAATTCCGCAAATTGCACACAGCAGTCAACGGCCATCGCCCGGGCAACTGGCAACGGCATCTGCGGAACGGTAAATTTTGATTCAACATTTTGTCCTCTTCTTGCCTCATGTATTTGCTCCGTTACTATCTTTTAGTTAGTTACCACCCGCAGGTCAACCAACCTAACACGCTCGCTTCCTCATTGACATTAACGCCCCGGTTTTAATAGTAGTATACGAATGCTAACATTAATTAATACTAGCACAGTAGCACGTACTTCGTTTGGATTGCATTATTTTAAAATGACACTAACTATAATAGTACATTTTTTAGAGCTGATATAATACGAGGTAAAAATTTAGTTGAAACCCATGTCAAGCAAATACATCTAGAAAAGATTGAAAAAAAAAGTTTTCTATAAAGGTAGCGATCCAAACAAGATGTGAAGTTTACAAATCCACTAAAGGGCCTACATATCAACTTAAATTAATATTGTGATTTCAAGTAAAAATATCAAATACTATTCAAAATAGTGATATGATTAAATGACAACTAAATTATTTACATCCGAGCTCAAGCCTAGTTTGTTTTTTTTTTTTTTTGGGTATACATATGTTTCGTTTTGTACCTAAATGTTTACTCTCTCTGAGACCACATGATTTTTAGAGACATACAGGCCAACACAAGTTAATTTAATTGAATTTCATTGTCGATGTAAGAGCCGTGTCGGTGGTGAGCAGAGTCGAGAACATGTCCTAACTCATGGTAGTGAGCGGAGTCGAGAACATGTCCTAATTCATGGTAGTGATCGAAGTCAAACGAAGTCAAACCCATCCAAACTTTTATTTTACCAAAAAAAAAAAAAAAGAACCATATAAACGGTTTGGCTTTAAGAGTCAGGCAAATGCTGATTTGGTTTATCTTTGTTTCAATCTCTTTTTTTTTTAAAAAAAAAAAGTTCTAATTTCTCATTTCTGATCTTTCAAATTTGTGCTTGGCATGCAGTTTGAAATTGTAATACTCACAGCACCAAGCGTAACTTCATTATTGCACAAAACTATTAAAAAAAAATAACTGAATAAGTTATGGCAATAAAACCAACAAAGAAATATATTTCATATACAAATACTTCTGACTCAGTATTTTGCGAGGGTAGATTGAGAGGACAGAAAGACATATTTAGATTGCTTGGGGACTGAAATTGAACCGTCGGAAGGATTTTGAAGGCAACAAATCTGCCTACATTGCGTGGTTTATTATTAGAAAACAAGATTATATTTGTGCCCCCTAAACGTAGTTGGAAAATGTGGCAAGATGAATCTTCTAAAAGATACTTTTCAAAGAAAGCATGAACAGCATGTTTATATGACCAATTTGCAGACACTTTCTTAGCCCAATGAAGCATGCATAGAGTAGTTTTTCGAGCTTCAAATGAGAGGAAAGAGGTGGCTGGCTAGCCTACTCACAGCATGTTTAGTGGGAATATGTACCACAAAGACACAACGGGAGCTGGAAACAGGTTTTAGCCACTCGCCAAGTCAAGTCAGGACTTGGTTCACCAAAATCTTGCTCTTGGGATGTATGTACGTACAAATACATGAACTCCAGCTTTACATATTATCAAACTCCACGAGATCATCAATATATTACTATCGATTCAATAGTTAATCGTTACAATGACGAAAAAAATGTGCGAGTACAAGGGCGAATGCTGCTGCTTTACAAAGAAAATAAGCAGGCCTTACAGATCAAAACAATCATAAAAATTGATAATGCTATCAGATATTGAAGCAAAAATGGGCTATAAGTATGTGAAAATGACAATTGGAAGCAACTCTAGCATGAGGAAGATACTGAATTAGTGAGGCAGTTTGTAATCTCCTGGTTCAGGACCGAAGAGTTCTATTTGTGTATCTTAAAAATGTATATAAGCATAGCGTCCAAGTAATGTAAACTCTAGCTCCTTTGCTAGATAGAAGAATATCTTGTAACCTAGATTGCCTTCAATCCTGCAAGCTCACGTAGCTTTTCACAGATTATGAAGGTGATTGTAGTCTGGGGTCCCAATCTTGCAAAAAGGGTGAGGCCTCTGGTAATATTTCAGATGTTAACAGGAGAACAAATGTTGAAATAAACAAACATACCAGGAAGTGAACTTCATAGTTAGGAACCATTATAGCTTCAAGTCTAGCAAATAGTAAAATAACTCTTAACATAAACAAATAGTTCAGGAACATAAAAACCTCACCCTTTGTAGAGCCCCCGAGGACCTTCTGTACGCAGAACCTGGAATTACATAATGCTGGAACATCAGATAAGACATTATGATGAATCAACATTGTACTTTTGGAATATAACTTTTAGTCTCATATTAACCTGTCATCTCTTCATCCACCTAAAAACAAGTGGCTTGAAATGTAGACACCAGGAAATGAGCAGTAGAAATTCAACCTTTAATTTCCATCCCATGCAAGTAATGTGAAGCTTAAAATGAAAAGACAGAAAATGTTTTTACCTGATACGCACAATGAAATCCATTTTTATACATTCCAACTTGCTTAGATTCTCGTTGCAACATAAGACGGGTTTTAACCATGTCCATGGGAGCAGTCATAAGGGTGCTGACTGCACCTGCTATCGTACTTGAGCTTCACAAGATGCAAACACAGTTAATTATCCCTGATGGAACACATTGATAATGCATTCTTCTTAATCATAACAAGGAAATAACATGAATTATATGTGGGAACCAGCAACAATCAATTACTGAAGTTGTGGCATATAAAATTCATCCATTCCTTTAAAGTCAATTCCAGTTTCATGAAACATCCAAGACAAAATATCAAATGCACTTGATCTTACTATTTCGCCTTCCAAGTTATCTAGATTTTTGTCCTCAAATCATGTTAGCTAACTCTGGGCAATCTGATTGAATATCCTATTTATATTGCATACCCAACAAAAAATAGAGAATATATATTTCCCAGCCATGGGAGATAAAACGAATCACATTTGTGCCGGAGCACTTTCAAAATGATTTTGCAATTTTAGAAAATAATTTGTAATTCAAATTTGACTATTTAGATCTTGGACTTGAATACCCAGAAAATTCAACTTTGACTATTTAGATCTTGGACTTGAATACCCAGAAAATTCAACTTTGATACCAGTAAGAAGTAGCCTCATATTGCATACAGACATAAATTAAGAAGTAGCCTCATATTGAATACACACATAAATGATTTGTGCACTATACAGGAGGAATAAGGAAATGTAGCCTACATTAAATGCAGATAAAATCCTTCTTCAAGAGGAGTCCACCTCATTAGTGCCTGCATAACTTCACAACTTTAGTTTTTGAATTCTGTTACAGAGTACAAGTAAAAGTCCAGGACATCATAAGCTACAGAAATTATTCATGTCAATCTAAGTAAAGATAGCATGAGTAGCATTAAACCTGCTTGGATTCATCATAAGTTGCCAGTTGAGAGGCAGTCAATGCAGCAGCTCTAGTCATGGCAGGACCAATCCCCTTCCAAAGAGCAGCCATGCCCTCTTCATGAGCAATCTTCTGGAGTTCGTGTAGTGGTCCTTTGCTTGAAGTTGCATTCATCTGTAATCGTACCTGAAAGAGCATGAAAAATGAGATATGTTCGAGAAACTTAAAAACAGTTTACATGATCATACCTTCAAGACTTCCACTGGATTGGTCAGTGCTGTAGCAATGGCACCAGAAAATGCTCCAGAAGCAATCTTCACCAAGATATTGGTGGACTCAAAAGCCAATTCACAGACATATTTTGATGGTTCATATAAGCCTAAACGGAGACCACCATAAAGAACTGACCTTGTTAATGCAGGTGTTAATCCCAGATACAAGGACTTCATCCCCTCACTTTTGACTAATTGAACAAAAAGTCCTCCCTGCATGCATCAGAATAACAAAAATAAGCTATTGCAATGTATCCATAAATATGAGTAATATTAATCAAGAACAGGACACAACTTAAAAATTTATACCATTCCAATTAAGGGACCTCTCTGGCCAACAAGCTGCATTTGCAGCCTCACCTTAAGAACATCTGCAAGCCAAACCAAGTTGAATCACATTTTCATACCACATGACAGAACCCAATCTGACTCGATGTAATTTCTGCCTGTGGTCGTTCTTGCACAAAATAGCATCATGTTGGCCCTATGGTTATACCATTTCTTTCATTTTGGATACTTCCAAACATCATGATCACCGAGAGACACTTGCCACACGTGACCCCATTTACAAAATTATTGAAGCCATTAACTTCACATTATTCAAGCACAAAATTATTGAACCCATGAGCTTCACATTATTCAAGCAGTAATGTTGATTCCACACCGAGCCAACAAGTAGCATCCAGAATGTAAAAATTTTGGACTTTGATTTGTTAAACAACTACGAAGCCAAAGAGAAAAAAGTCAAGGAATGAATACTAAATGAATTCATATATTATTCAGTGAAATGTTACCATGCCTCATCGTAATAGAGTAAAGACAGTAGATCCGGACAGAATGCTAGCAAGAACAATAAAGCAAGGACGTCAAAAGGAAATGCTATAGGGAAACGAAGAATTGGAGCTCAATCCATATTGGAGACCTTCATTAGATTGGAATAACAACTATGACGCAATTGCAACGAGTGAACAAACAAGCAATAGCCTCATCAAATAAATTAGCAACGAGGAGTTGAAGAAGAAGAAACCTAAAGGGTGGGTGATGCCAGTGGCAGCAGCAACAGAAATTCCACTCGTACCGAAGTGAGAAACAATAGTAGATATCGGGATCCCCCAAACATGCCCCTCCTTCACCTTCTTCAACCCTGAAGCACTCAAATCCCACATCGGCTAACATGATAAGAATAGCGAAAGAAAAAAGAAAGAAAAGAGGCTCCGTCCTAATTAAATCTGAACAGTTACACAGATACGCAAGCAATCGATTCCTTTTTATTTTTTGAAATCCCCAGTAAATCACCGATATATTTCTTTTAGCTTTTACTAAAAGTAGCACGATGTTTATGTAAATAACCGTATGACCTGAGATGGGATTTTCCCCGGAAGCAGAGCTGGCAGCCATTCTCGATTTCCTTGGGGCCCTGGTGGTTATTCACAACCTGCCGGCTTTGAGGCCACACGGCCACGGGAAGCCAGTTTGTTGTGGCTCTTGATTTGGACAGTTAAAGGAGAGCGGTGAGCAAAAGGAAAGCATGTAGGTTAGGAAGGTAGGAAGGGATATAGATTAGGCTGTGCTTGTGCCGCACCCACACATAGGATTGGACTCCTTAAATTTGGTCCCGCCAGTTTTTGGAGAGGGGATGCTATTTTGATACGAGTTGTAACATTCCTCCGGAGAAAAAGGAAAAGAGGTTGTAGTCTTTCGATGCGGTGCATAAAATGATCCTTCAATAAACTCCAGAAAAGAAAAGAAAAAGATAAGTGCTTTGACATGTATGTTTCAAGTCATTCGATTTATTGAATTAATACTACTTTAATCTCTCTCTACATTTCCATGGTTCTCGTTAATTAATAACCAATTGATGGTAATTATACGTAGAACACTGCTATTTGAGCGCAGATACATTTTTATTTTGGAAATGTATATATATGTATATATATATAAATATATATTTATATATTTTTTTAAAGGTGAAATCATCAATTAAAATTAAAATAAATCTTATATAAATTGATAGTGTTACTATCATTATTGAATCCATGATATATGTGCAAAAAATGATATTATATACACTGTCAATGTTGAGAAGATTAATTCTTAAAAAGTAAATCTATATAAGATTAACGATTGACTGTCAGCGGTACTTCTTCAGTTTATACCTTGCACGCCCGTAATTTACTTATGTCAACTCGTGTGTGTACATTTATTTCTAATTAGTTCTTAGTTCATAAATTGCATGCCTGTGATTTAGTTATATCAACTCATGTGCATACATTTAATTTTTATCTTTTTTATTAAACGTGATAATGTTTTAATCTAATTCCTTTTCCTACTTTACGCCTTACTCTACATTAAAAGGAAAGGTGAATCTAATGTGATCATTGGGAGATTCAAAGAGGACTAAACTATTCTCAAACTAGCCGAGCGCACAGTCAAGCGCATATTATATGTTACTAGTTTTTCAGGCCCTGACGCCATGCGTCAAATAGCTTGGATTGGTTTTTTTGCTGCTGTTGTATATTTTTTGTTAGTGTTGTGTGTGTGTGTGTGTGTTTTTTTTTTTTTTTGATATAGTTAACAGATGATTGGTTTGGTTGTACAGTGTGAAGTATGACTGGGTATATGTATATATATATTTTTTGGGAGGGGGGCTTTAGCTATCACTTCTTGCCTTCTTGGTACAAGCGTACGATGCGTGCGAAGGTAATATGAATTTACCTAACCCAATGATATAATGTGCAATGTATTAAGAAAAATATCATTTAAATATATTATATAATGTGCACCGAAATTTGTTTAAACCTGTGATATAATGTAAACTTTCTACACCAAAATTTAGCCCAGGATACTGAGAGATTTGCATGTTTATGTTTAAAACTAAACCATAAATATCACGTAGCAATAAAATGGGAACAGTTTATAACAGTTATAGTGAGCTTTTGTTTAAAAAATGCTCATTCTGCTCAGATAGGGAAAGTGATAGCTTGGTTAAAAATGTAAGTAGATATGCTCTAGGCATATATGGTGATGAGGAATGGAACAATCCTTGGTGATCTAACACTTTTGTATAGCTTTTTATGAGCCTTTGCTCACCAAATGTAAAGCTTTAAATCATTAATACAATTCCTACCGTTTCTGAAAAAATATATATACATAACAGCTATAGTGGGCTAGCATATACTATATTAATCTTGTACACAAAACTAAAGCAAAAGTACACAGCAATTATAATAGTATAGCCAACCAATTCATTTAGGTTCAAAATAAACGCTAATGACTCCTGAGAATTTTTCTCAATCCATCCAGCGTAATTACACGAGCCTTTGGTGACGTTGAGTATGTAATCCAACTAAACTTTTGCATTCTCTCTGTATTCACAAACAAAAACATAAAATATCATTGACCAAATAATCTTTTGTTACAGTTTACAAAAAAAAAAATTTATCAGGAAGCATAAGTATACATCTTATAACAAGATTGGCTGTGAATCAATCAGTTGACCATAGAACAAGATGGAGGAAGGTAAGAATGTAGCAACTACTTAATGTCTCATAGCACAAGAATGTAGCAAACATGGACAGGGGGGTGTCAAAGCAATTTCTTATGAGGGACATGTAGACTACTCTGGCATCCACTACAGACGAAAAAAACTTTGAAAGAGCAAAGCATACACATTATCATGTAGAATTGAAAGAGCTGTGAGATGAACAGACATTCAAGCTGAATGTAGTACCTTGTCAAAATATGGCTAAAACTTGCCTCTGCAGAAATTAGATAGTGTCCACGTGGCATTTCGCAACAATGATAGTTTGCATGCTCATTTAGCTAAGCCACCAAAGGACCTAGAGCTCCATGACCAGGAACAAAATCACGGCATTTTGGGGAATCACCAACCACATTTCACGGAGCCCATACAGCCTAATGTAGTTAAAAGAAAATTAAGGAATAAGAGATAAATAACAATAAAATTCAATTATATCATGCAACATTCAAAATCCAGAAAGCAATGCAAGGCATTGAACATGATTCCAAACACCATAAGAGGAAATTTCTTTATCATCCGTCAAAGATGTACCTGTTCACGGGCATCATCGCTGGGAGAACTAAGAAGCTGTGCGAATATGGGAAGAGCACCATTGTCTATTACAACCTTAGTGTGCATAGATGTCCCGGAAGCAATGTTTGTGAGAGCCCAAGCTGCCTCAAACTACAAATTTGCAAATGATGGAAAAAGATATTTATACATAACACCAAACAAATATAATCTTCATTTTGTACGCAAGATGGGGAATAATGAGCTTGAAGCTGAAGTTGAGGAAATCCTCCGTAATAAGATAATGAACAAAACGAGGGACAACACAAGCTTGGATCACTTCTTGAATCGGTGGACTTTGTTTAGGTATCAGGATTAACAGCAATACCTATATATGCTATATCCCCTTTTGTATTGAGAAAGATTTTTCCATGAAGACCTGAGTGTACAAAGTGAAATCAACAGAGAAGTAATTAGGAAGTTTAATCAACTTATCAACTTTAGCTATGGTTAGGTTTCAAACTTGGCAAAATTTTTAGGGCAAAAAACAGGCTAGGAAGGAAATAAGCTAAAGCCTCAAAAATTAACTTCACCTGGTGCCAGAAAAATATTTTTACCCACTTTCAAGCAGCTCTCATAATAGAGGATTGGCAGAGGGTTTGGAAAAGCGTGTAGAGCAACTTAGAGAGAGCAGCAAGAAAAAGCAAAGCTATCCGGTTGATTATTTCATGCGCGCCTTGAGAGTGTTCAACTGGAATGCGTCATCTCTTAGTAGGTGATTGAAAGGGCGGCGATGTGTAGGGTGAAGCAGAGACGGAGAGATAGAGAAAACAAAGCGATTGTATCAGTGACTTCGATGGTGAGAGAACAGGGCACAACTCAGTATAACCAAAAGAGAAAATTGCTGACCGAGAATGAGAGAAAATTGCTGACCGCCACTGGCCAAAGAAAGCTAAGAAGAATAATGAGGAATTGAAGCGGTGCTCCCAAAACCAAGAACAGGCCAAGAATGAGAAGAAAAGCATGAGAGCCACGCGGATGAGAAGAAAGGAATGAGAGCCACGCAGACACACGGGAAATTCCAGCGCAGCCACTACCACCGAATGACATAGGACCAAAACGCCTCTCAAAGCCACAAAAATAGGACCAAAACACCCCTCAAAGCCACAAGAATCACGCGATAACCGACTCATCATGCACTGTTCACAAAGGTTATCACGCTTTATATATGTAAGATAAGATTTACACAATCGAGCGCACATTATACGCCTACTTTACACTAACAGGAATGATGAATCCAAAGGGATCATTGAGGGGAAGGGGGAGGGTCCGAAAAGGATTGAACTGCCCTTGAATCGGATGAGGCGCATTGTACATCTGTTAGCAAAATTCTAAAAATTCCTGAATTAAAATGCAAGTTGGGAGTATTGAACACTCATGCTCAAGAAGGGGCTTCCATCTCAGATGGTCACTGGATCAGTGGTGGTTACCTCGTGTACACATGTCCTATATATCTATTTATTTACTTATTAAACAAAAACAAATCTTACAAAAAAAAAAAAAAAATCAATGAGTGCAGTTTAAGTTTGAACAAATGTTACATTCATAGAAGTTGTCAACCAACTCGTGTCTATTATTTGTACTATATATAAAAAGGGAGATGAAGAGATTTGAAGTAAACATGCCATTTTATAAACTTTTATTTTTATCTTTATGAAAATCATTTTTACTTTAATTACTTATACACATATTGTAAAAAAAAAAATGTCCATAAGCATTTTTTACTTTTAACTATTTAAAAATATGTTTTTCAACATAATCACTCCTAAGCGTTATAATTTATAAGAGCAAATTATTCGGATGGCCACTGAACATTTGAAATCATTGAAATTTGGCCTCTGAACTATTTAAAATTTAGACTTGGGGTTATTCCGTTAGATTTAGTGGTTAACTATTTATTTTGTCTCGTGAAATGTGCGAGCACTCGAATCTGATAGGATGGTCTGAAATTTAAACTTTAGATAGTGTAGTAGTCAAAATCAGACTTTTAATAGTTCAATGGTCAAAACTCCATAATTCCAAAAATATGGTGGGCATCCACATAATTTGCTCTAATTTATAACAATATGAAATTATTTTATGAAAAATTGTAAAAGATTAAAGTTTGTTTCAATAATAAAAATTTTATTATAAAATATATCACTATGAATATTATGTATTTTTTTATTGCACAAACTAAATGTGCGCATTTGGCACTCATTACTATAAAAACATATCACCATTTGATCTTTTATTATTTATTTTTTAAATTCATTCACATAAAACTTTTGAACTTAATTTGGGTGTTTTTGGATTACAAGATTTTCAAAAAAAGAATTCAAATTTTATTTTACTTATATCATACATACAATTTTCAACAAATTTTTTTTATCACACATATATCATATCAACAAAAGTATTAGAGTATTTATTTCAAATCACCTCTTATCCAAACAAATGATTGGACAACTGCCCAAAAATTACCCATTAATTGTCTGACATTATACGCGTACACACCCACAGAGTGTGAAGTTAATTCCTATAAAAATGGTTCGGGATTAATTTTATTTCTGATGAACGCAAAAGCTGACACTCAGATTAATGACCAACAGCAGAAAAGAAAGGAGTCTGGTGTTGTAAGTGGGGGTAATTGTAATTCCCTCTGTTTGACGCTCCAATTGGCAATTTTAGGGTTCTTTTCTCCTGTCTTTCTTGCTTCGTTCCTTCTGATCCACGCGGAGGTCCGATTGCTTTTTCGAGAAAATTCGACGCTGATCTTACGATTTCCATACTTTTTAAGGTCCTTTTTGTCTCTTTGTAGTGTAATAGCCAGTAGGAGCACCCATCTTTCTTAAACAGCTAAGCCCAGCATTCTTGAGCAACTTGATTACAACTTATTTAGTGCTCGCTCGCGGGTTTCTCACGTTGCTTGCATAAGAAATTATTAGGGTTTTGCTTCTCGCTTCTATTCTGATTTGCTGATTTTGTTGTTGGGTACTCCTCCAGGTCGCTCTGTCTCTGCATTGCTCTGAGTCCCCCCAATCGAGACGCATAATGCCTCGGTATTTTTTTTTCTTGAATAATTGAATGGAGATCTTACTCTACTCGTTTTACATGGCACTATAGAGAAAATTATTGAAGAAATCGTTTTTGTTTTGTGGCTTTAGGTATTATTGTGACTATTGCGATACTTACCTGACGCACGACTCTGTAAGCCTCCATCTCCCTCTCATCTCCTACTTAAGGCCTCTTTTCAGTTTTCTCGTTTTACAATTACTTCACTTTTCACGTTGAATTTGCTCTCTGTTTACAATTCGGCCTATCTAAATTTTAGACTTGACGACTTTACTTTAAATTTCTCAACCTTGGTTTGCCTTCAACATTCAGCTTAGCCTTTTCAGAAGCGTCCGCTGAGTTTTACTCTTTTGGCTTTTTTCTTCTCTTTTAAGTTTATTTTTCCTCTTTGCAAATAGAACTAGCATGTCACTGGGTGTCTATCAGCATCCTCATCACTATCAGTATTTTGCTTGAAGAATCAATTTAATAGAAATTTATAAGCTCTCTAGGCTATTTGACTTTTGAAGTTTGATGTTATACATTGGTTTTCTTCCTGTTTGTTGTTTCAGCCTTCTGTTAGGAAGCAGCACAACGCTGGTTATAAACACAAGGTAAAAACTTCTGATTTCATGGCTATTTTGGAATCAAGGGTAATAATTTTTTTGTCATGTATTAACATGCTTATGTTGAACAGGCTAATGTGCGGAGTTATTATCAGCAATATGAGGCACAGCTGAATCAAAGTTTGATTGATCAAAAGGTCAAGGAACATCTTGGGGCATATCGACCAGTTGGTCCTCCTTATCCCTTGAGACCTGGCATTCCTGTTCTACCTACACCTCAGATGCCCATGCCCATGCCCATGCCCATGCCCATGCCCATGCCCATGCCCATGCCCTTACCTGTGCCCGTGCCAGGGTCTGCATCATTGCCTGGTTCAGCCCCATTAATCCCAGGAATCAGGCCACCTCCCATGTTGCCTAGACCTGTACCTAGTGCTCCAGGTACATAAAGCATCTCCTCATGGAATACAGGGTGCACATGTTTTTATATTTTTATGATTCTAATTTGTATTTGGCTTTAATGCAATTTGGTTACGGTTTTTCTTTTCTATTTTGATTGCACAACTTTAAGATAATTCTTATGTTCGACACTTGGTTTGAAGCACAATATTTCATGGTCTATTCCCTTTTATGTGATGATGATAGATTGCTTTAAGGAGCACTGTTAATTGGTGGTCTACACGTGTGTCTCCTTTTCTTTTCCTAATCTTTTTCCTTACCTTTACCCTTACTTGTGAAACTATCGGGGAAGAAAGAAGAGGGAGAAGGGGAGGGATATCTCTTTTTTTTTGTTGCCGTTGTGCCTTTCTTCACTGTTGAGGTTTAGTATGGTCAGATTAGATGTGCTTTATTTTCTCAATGGAATAGATTGAATTGCATTTGTTGGTATCACGGGTGTTGTCAGTTATGGTCGGAGTGATGTGCCTTATATTTCTCTTGAACAGGTGACATGCATGTACATGATATGATGTAGCCATTGCAGTATAATTTGATTTATAGTTTACTGTAGCGCAAAGTTTTAGTAACTCATAGAATTGAACATATCTTACTTGGACAGAGTCTGGAAGTATTTAACTTGGGTAGTAGCCCCTGCAAAATAAATTCATTGAGCTTTTAAAGTTGAATAGTCTCGAAAACTCAGACGTCTGAAAATTTTTGGGCTTGGAGTTTAAGGATAATTGCAGGTTAGCAAGCAGTCATTATTTGGAATTGGTTGATATCTGCACCCTAATCAGGCATAGAGTTTTTATTGAAAATTGCTTATATCTTGTAGGTGGAGAACTCTATTTTTCAGATGAAGATTTAGAAAGTCACACACACACACACATATGTATGTGTGTGTAAATATCTAGAGCACTTCCTTGGATTTTCTTTAAATCCTTTCAGATCAAAAGTTGGTGTGTTTCAGAAGTTTTAGAGGTTGCAACTGCACGATGGATTTTTATTTTTGGGGTGAAATTTACCCTTGCATGAACTTGGTTATTTATAGCTTGTTTTTGACTTGCAGCAAAATTCCAATATGGGCTTCATTTTTTGTAAACAAGTGGAAAGCCCTGATTTCCCTTCTGGATTATGTTTTGAAGTTTTCATGGGTGGACTCCTTAAGGATAAGAGATTTCAATGAGAAGTTTTGTGTATAATTTTCCAGTTATTCTCTTTGGAAATTGTCGTCTGATTGTCCTGTTACATTGGCAGGTTATTCCATGTCACAAATGGTGACACCACCAACTGCTCCGCTGCCTAGTCAATTAAATGGTATTCCAAGGCCCTTAACTGCTCCTCCACCAGTGGTTCCTAATAGCGCTGGAATGCCAGCATCTAGTGGTGCCCCACCAATGTTTACTCCTGTGTATCAAGGGAACATGGCTGTCCCAACAACTGGCAGTGGTGAAAGTTCTGATATGAATGCCCAAGCTGCCGAGGCTAATCATTAGTATGTCCAAAATTATGTTTACTTCTGAGGTTAATCATTAGTATGTCCAACATTATGTTCACTTGTCTTTTTAGCTGTTGGGTTGTTGCAATGGAGATTGCATCCTGTCAAAAACAGATGCTAGAACTTGTGTAGAAAATTTTGACAGCTAGATGAAGGACCTAAAGTTATTCTTGTTTCTAAATGCATTCCATGTGTTATATGTGTGTTATTGCCAATAATGGGGGAGATTCTTGTGCTCTCATGAAGTGGCATTTTGTAACACAGAGGATCTGCAATTTTCACTTACCATGTTAATGGCAAACGAACATGTTTCTGTTTAAAAATAACTTCTATCTATTTATAAACTAGAATTTTATACGACTGCAAATTTCATCATGGCATGAGATACATCATCATCTGTTTGTAAAAAAGATATCGGGCCAAAGGTACAACGTGTGTCGTAATTGAGATGGCCAGTAAATGTCAAATAGCATATTTTGGTTTGTGTTA